GCAAGCTCTCTCACCCCCCCCCCCCCCTTCCATGTAAACAGTAAAAAAAAAGTTGCGTGAGTGTTTGTGTGTGTAGGCGTGAAAGTAAATTTTCCGCACCGGGTATAAAATGAGCTTGTAATGCCATTAGGGGTGACAGGAAATGTTCATCACCGGGTACCATCTGATAGTGTTACACTGCTGGTGCACACTAAATCGAGCCGGGCTAACTTTAGTTGCCTTGCTGTCTTTGACTGTTTGACATTACTCTGGCACAACAAAACCCGATATTAGAGATGAAGTAAAAAAAAAAAATAACTGCAGAACAATGCTTCTTTTCAGCTTTTCCACCCCCATCTCGTCGGCTGGAGAATCGGCAGAGCATTCTTAGGGGGTTTCCAGGAAGCTTCTATAGTATTGGAAAAGGGAAAAAAAAGGGGGGGGAGGCTGGTGTCTGTGTTAATGTAACATTAACTTAACAACACCTGCTATGTTTGAGGAGTGTCATACTTTAAATATTTTCAATGTGTTCATCGCTTAGTTAGTTAAGTCAGCATTTATAGTTAACAACTCAAGTGGGATTTGTCTCAGAATTTGCTTCTATAGTATTGGAAAAGGGAGTCATACTTTAAATATTTTCAATGTGTTTCATCGCTTAGTTAGTTAAGTCAGCATTTATAGTTAACAACTCAAGTGGGATTTGTCTCAGAATTTGCTTCTATAGTATTGGAAAAGGGAGTCATACTTTAAATATTTTCAATGTGTTCATCGCTTAGTTAGTTAAGTCAGCATTTATAGTTAACAACTCAAGTGGGATTTGTCTCAGAATTTGCTTCTATAGTATTGGAAAAGGGAGTCATACTTTAAATATTTTCAATGTGTTCATCGCTTAGTTAGTTAAGTCAGCATTTATAGTTAACAACTCAAGTGGGATTTGTCTCAGAATTTGCTTCTATAGTATTGGAAAAGGGAGTCATACTTTAAATATTTTCAATGTGTTCATCGCTTAGTTAGTTAAGTCAGCATTTATAGTTAACAACTCAAGTGGGATTTGTCTCAGAATTTGCTTCTATAGTATTGGAAAAGGGAGTCATACTTTAAATATTTTCAATGTGTTCATCGCTTAGTTAGTTAAGTCAGCATTTATAGTTAACAACTCAAGTGGGATTTGTCTCAGAATTTGCTTCTATAGTATTGGAAAAGGGAGTCATACTTTAAATATTTTCAATGTGTTCATCGCTTAGTTAGTTAAGTCAGCATTTATAGTTAACAACTCAAGTGGGATTTGTCTCAGAATTTGCTTCTATAGTATTGGAAAAGGGAGTCATACTTTAAATATTTTCAATGTGTTCATCGCTTAGTTAGTTAAGTCAGCATTTATAGTTAACAACTCAAGTGGGATTTGTCTCAGAATTTGCTTCTATAGTATTGGAAAAGGGAGTCATACTTTAAATATTTTCAATGTGTTCATCGCTTAGTTAGTTAAGTCAGCATTTATAGTTAACAACTCAAGTGGGATTTGTCTCAGAATTTGCTTCTATAGTATTGGAAAAGGGAGTCATACTTTAAATATTTTCAATGTGTTCATCGCTTAGTTAGTTAAGTCAGCATTTATAGTTAACAACTCAAGTGGGATTTGTCTCAGAATTTGCTTCTATAGTATTGGAAAAGGGAGTCATACTTTAAATATTTTCAATGTGTTCATCGCTTAGTTAGTTAAGTCAGCATTTATAGTTAACAACTCAAGTGGGATTTGTCTCAGAATTTGCTTCTATAGTATTGGAAAAGGGAAAAAAAAGGGGGGGGGGGAGGCTGGTGTCTGTGTTAATGTAACATTAACTTAACAACACCTGCTATGTTTGAGGAGTGTCATACTTTAAATATTTTCAATGTGTTCATCGCTTAGTTAGTTAAGTCAAGAATTGGAATCACAGCACTCGGGGCATTCCCATGCGTGCTGCGCCCTTATCTTCAGCAGCCATCGCAGAGTTCCAATACTGATGGTACCGGTCACAATCTGTTTATAAGTCCGTCTCGCCTTTCTTCTGAGTTACACCCAGGTGCCTCATTCTCTCCAGGCCATAAGAATCGTGTTTCTCTACTGATTCCGTTACTTTTACGCACGCAAAAAAAAAAAAACTGACCTCGTCAGCCCCAGGGCCTCACAATACTAAGATCTAGTGGTCTAGGTTTCCTGTCTAGGCAACTCAACCTCCCCAAAAATGAATCATACCTTCATACAGTATACACAAAGCTCTACGTAGATTTGCTCTTGTCGGCTGCGCTTTATTATCATCATCAACAAGTACCTTGCCAACTGGCCTTTCTGCAGTCTGCGAATAGAATGTATCAGTTCTTGTGCGACACCCCTCCATGCAATGACAAAAAGCTATCAAGAATCTTCTTGTGTTGTCTTCCTTTGTCTCCTTTTTCTGAAGGTAAAGACATATTCTAGTTTCCTTCCGATAACACGATCAAAGATGTGAAGATGAATTGGGGTTCATGTTGCCTGCTTAGATCAACCCTACTTCGTTGCCGTCTACAAGATGCCCCTCAACACACACAGGGACAGAACGGGGACACTTAATCGGGTTGTCCTTGACACTATCACCGAGGGATACTGGAAATTCGAGATTGAGCACATATGGAAATGTGCAGAGTGTAGTGTCGTAAATTACTGATTCACTCATTCTCCCTCATTCCACTACTCAGGACACCCAAGAACATTTGTGTCAAGACTGGCCCTGGCCTTCAATGTTGAACTATGAATCGACATCATAGCACTCGGGGCACTCCCATAATTGCTCAGTCCCCCACCTTCAGCAGCAAACGAAGAATTATAATTCCAATGGTACCAGTAACTGTATGATTGTAAATCTGACTGATCCTTCCCCTGGGTGTTGACTGTTCCTTAAAGTCATCAATACACCTAAAAATGGATGTAATACCGGTCACCATTACTTGTGATAGGCGAAGAATAACTAAAGTTACTCTGGAATTAAAATTACGAATCGAACAAACACATGATTCTCTTCTTTTACTTTTATGAGATTTCATGGGGAATTCCAGGAAAAATTCCACAGTAAAGGGGTGTTAGGGTTAGTGTGTTTACTTCACAGGAATGAACGAAAGCAACTCATGATGATGCAATAAACGCTGGAAACAACCCATACATTTATATAGAATAAAAGTTAGTTGCACAGTCATCATCATCAATGTCCACTTATGCCCTTAAGTGGCGTGGAGAGGAACAGGTTGTGATCCATCACTTGATGAGCAGCAATAGCTAGCTACTGTCAATCCATGTTCTCCAAGGTTGGCCTCTTGCTTTCACTTCAGATCTTTTAATGTGTAGCGCCTGCATTGGTTGTTGTTCTAGCTGAATTCTGACTAGATGACCACATTGTTTCTTCTTCTTCTACGCGTTCACCATCTGTACACTCTGGCGTAAAGTTCTGATTGTTCATCCACTTCTAGACTGCAGTCCTGCACAAGAACCTGAGTGTTGCATGTGCATCAGTTTTACAGATCTGATTCACTTGAATGCATACTGTTGATTCCTTGCCTTTCTTTTTCTTCTTCAGAGGAAGCTTCCAATTAGTCGACTCTTAGGACTTGCTTTTGGGTAGGCAGTGAATCTATTCTTGTTTTTCCCTACAATAGAGCTCCGGAACCCTGACGTCTTCTGTTTCTCCATAAATTTGCTGCATGGTGCTATCATTTTTAACTGTCTCTGATGGGTAAGTTGGTGGCTTTTCTCAACCACCTCATTTCATGTGTTAATTTTATGTTTTACAATGTCCAAGTCTGGCACTGGTAGCACAGTGTAGGTATGAATATGCTATGTATAATCTTAGGCTTTCAACCACTGACGGTTCTATAGACATGACACTGCTTTACAAAATACCCACAGTAAGTTGCAGAATACCCCGGACAGATACATTTCAGAAAAATATCTTATGCAAAAAATCACTCTCATTTATTGTCAGAAAGAGGGTGCTAAAATGTTACATAGAACCTGTTCTGCTGTATGGCAGCGAACCTTGGAATGTAACTGAACAAATTAAGAAGAATTTAGAAGCAACAGAGATGTGGTTTCTGAGACGAATGTTATGAATACCTTGGGCGGCCAGAGTAACTAACAACGATTGCTTGAAAGAAGCTAATGAAAGTAGATCTCTATATACACAATTAGAAAGAGACAAACACTGTTTTTTGGGCACATAATTAGAAGATAGACTTTGGAGAACATCGTGATAACTGGAAAGATCAGCGGAAAAGGGGATAGAGGCAGACCAAGAGAGATGATGTTGGATGGGCTAAAACGATGGTATGGATGAATATCATCAAGAGAGCTGTTCCACTAGGGATCGTGATCTGTGGAGACGCATGAGCGCCTACGCTAGTTGGCAGGGCACATGATGAGGATGATAGAAGAGCTTCTGTGGGTGAATGTCTAGCCAGAGCGCAGCAAGGGATTAAAATCTTATAGTATCCCCCAAAAACAAAGTTTTACCACACAAATCTGGGTTCATGTCTACAATGGGTTTATTTATACAGCCCACGACCAAGTTGATAATTCTAAATTGTGCCAGCAGATTTAAAAAAGTCACACACAAAAAAAAGATTGTGCATGCCTCATTTGAAATCTTAGAAAAGAAAATAATAACCATATGCAATCTTCGCTAAGTCTGTATGGGCTGCACAACTGACATGAATGAAGTAAATACACCAATGAATTTCAAAACACAGTCACAATTATGTTTTAACATATGGCCACAGAAAATGTCACAAACAAGATAAAATTGTATTTAAAAGTCAGTGCAAAGATACACCTCACAAAGTTTCCTTATTATGTCTAAATTAGAGTGTTTTACCACAAAGACATACACAAACTGTGCCAAATAAAAATCACATACTAGTTCTGTCAATAATGACCCATCATTCAGATCTCTAGCCTCGAAAACTATAGTGCTTCAACACTCAGACACATTCAAATATAAAATATAAAGAACACTCACAATTTTTCTAGAAGCTGCTGGGTAAAGACAATTCTTCGTGGGTGGTTCTGATCCATTTCTTTGATGTTTCTTGCGATGTCTCGAATCTGCCTTGACAATTTGTTATACCTGTCAGTAATACAAACCAAATGTTATACCTGCACATATAAGCCTTGTCTATAATGATAACCAAATGTTATACCTGCAAGTATAGGCCTTGTCAGTAATAAAAACCAAATGTTATAACTGCAAGTATAGGCCTTGTCAGTAATAAAAACCAAATGTTATACCTGCAAGTATAGGCCTTGTCAGTAATAAAAACCAAATGTTATACCTGCAAGTATAGGCCTTGTCAGTAATAAAAACCAAATGTTATACCTGCAAGTATAGGCCTTGTCAGTAATAAAAACCAAATGTTATACCTGCAAGTATAGGCCTTGTCAGTAATAAAAACCAAATGTTATACCTGCAAGTATAGGCCTTGTCAGTAATAAAAACCAAATGTTATACCTGCAAGTATAGGCCTTGTCAGTAATAAAAACCAAATGTTATACCTGCAAGTAAAGGCCTTGTCAGTAATAAAAACCAAATGTTATAACTGCAAGTATAAGCCTTGTCAGTAATAAAAACCAAATGTTATACCTGCACATATAAGCCTTGTCTGTAATAAAAACCAAATGTTATAACTGCAAGTATAAACCTGTCAGTAATAAAAACCAAATGTTATACCTGCAAATATAAGCCTTGTCAGTAAAAAAAACCAAATGTTATACCTGCAAGTATAAGCACTGTTAGTAATAAAAACAAAACAGTGGAACTGAATTAACTTTGCTGCAGCATTTTGTCTGAAAAAATAAATACTCAAGCCACGCATTTCAGTTTTATAACACTTAAGTAGCAGAGGATGTCTTATTAAATGAAAATTACAATTCTATATACAAAATGCTAACTACAGTTAGTGTGGTTCAATAGCACAGACAAAATTAAAATCGTTTCAGTCCAGTCTTCAGGATATCATGGCTTAATTTCTATGGCTCTCTATTTAGAAAACGACAGTTCTTATATTTATATTGCTTTAGACAGGGTACAAAAGCAAATACACCTAGTCGGGACAGAATTTGGGTCTGTCTCTTTAAGCGCAACAACACTGCATAAATCCTTTTTGGGGCTCTCAGTGACGTGCAATGTTAAGCCATTTTATTTAGCACACATTACCTGGTCACAATTACAACCCAAAGCTCCCCCTTTGGAGATGTTCCAACATGATGTTTTCCTAGCAAAGCAAAGGGTACAAAAGCCGTACTTTGGAAAAAATTAAGACAGAGGTAGGTCTGTTGCAGATAACTGTAATTCTTGAGGCACCATTTTTTTTTTTTAAATTTAAATTTAGTTTTGTTTCTGTTTATCCCTGTGTGAGTTCCGGACCCCATTGTAAAGAAAACAAGAATAGAACCACTACCTGACCAAAAGCATGTTGTAAGAGTCGACATACTTCTTCTTCGGGTTCACCAGCTGTAAACTCTGGAAGAAAGTTCTGGTTGTTCGTCCACTTCTAGACAGCAGACCTGTTCCAGAACTTGAGAGTTGCATGTGCATCCGTTTGACAGGTCTGACTAATCTGTATGTAGACTGTCAGTTCCTTGCCTCTCGAGCAGATGCACCCCGACTTTGAAGGAAGCTCCCCAGTTAGTCAACTCTTACAACATGCTTTTAGGTAGGCGGTGGGTCTGTTCGTTTTTTCCCTATAACAGGGCACCAGAACCAACACAGAGATGAGTTGAATAATTGGGAGCTTCATTTAAGTTCACAGTACATCTGCCTGAGAGGCAAGAAACCAACAGTCTGCATGCAAATGAGTCAGGCCTGTTTGACGGGAACAGGACTAGAGCTCAGAAGCTGACAAACAACCAGAACTTTCCGCCAGAGTTAACAGCCGGTTGGGATGAAGAAGAAGAGTTTCTGCTTAACCATCAGCTGGTCTGTGGCAAAAAATGTCTTCTGTTTTACTGGTCCATGTATAAAAAATAATTCTGAAGAGAACTTATATAAAAAACAATTCTGAAGAGAACTTATATAAAAAACAATTCTGAAGAGTACTTGAATAAAAAATATGCCAATAGCAACTAACCTGCAGGGCAGTGTATTTACTTGAAATTGCACGGCTGATTCACATTCTAAGTACGGTCGTATGCTCTGTATATTTTACTATTTACCAGCGGCACCTCATCTGGTTCCACTTAGTTTTTTAAACATGGCAATCCTCATCCAGGTTTTGCTTATGTGCTTTCTCCATGTCAACCTGCCACTAATGTGACTCTGAGGTATATTTAATATATATCCTTATTAACTGTTTAGGATTGATCTGTTTATCTGTATACCTGTCTTTTGTTTGGGGCTTATGGTTAGGAATGGTACTACATTCTGATTTGTCTGTGGTGATGTAGACAAAGCCCATCCATACCACCATTTATTTGCCCAAGTTGAATGTTGAATTAAGAATCGATATTATAGCACTCAGGACACTCCCATAAGTGCTCTGTCCCTTTCTTCAGCAGCAAGCAAATAGTTCCAATTCTGATGGCACTAGTAACCGTCTCATTGTACATCCGTCTCAACCTTCCCCTGAGTAGCGTTGAGCCTGGGCCATATCCCCTGGTAACTCCTCGCAACGCTATTCTCCTCAGACCATAATGATCTATCTGTGCCTCTTCACTGTTCATTCCGAAGGACCCTCACAACATCTAGCTTGTTATACATCAATTCACCACCAAGTGTTGCAGAGCCAGCCAGTCTATCTGCCTGCTCATTTCCCAATATGCCTGCATACCCAGGAAAAAATATCCAGAGAATATTTGACATTCTGTACTTAATTTGCCCAAGTAACTTTAGACTTTAGCAACCAACACACTAGATGTAGTCAGGGCTGCTTGTGTTTTTTTTTTTTTTTTTTTTTTCGTTTTTTTTTTTTTTTAGCAGTATGCAGTGACGGTACCTTTTTAAGCTGTCATTTTTTTGTAGCACTATGATATAATATAAACTTGTGGGTGCACTTTTTTATATTGTAATTAATAAATTATTTCCCAATGTGGGTTACGCGGCTCTATTATAGAAAAAAAACTAGAACAGACCCCTGTGCCTCCCCAACAATCATGTCGGCATGTCGTTGGATTCGACTAATTAGGGACATCCTTCGAAGTCGGAGTACATCTGCTTGAGAGGCAGTGGATCACCAAGTCTGTATACAATGATATAACTAAGCCAGATCAAATCTCATACATGTGCTTGAGAGGCAGTGGATCACCAAGTCTGTATACAATGATATAACTAGACAGATCAAATCTCATACATCTGTTAAAGGTTAAAACATTTACTAAATAAATGATTTAGTTTAGAGCAAGAAAGCCCGGAGGTGGACGAATACCCAGAGCCTTTTGCCGGTGAACGCAAATAAGGAGAACGCAAAGAAGAAGAAGAAAAAAAAGAAGAATTTTGTTAAACATTTTAATTTTAAAAAATATTTAACATTAATTAGTAACTAATAATAATAACAGTAGAAGAGTAAATTAAAATAACTACTTACAGTGTGTAGTCTTCTCTCCGCTGAATATAAAACCTTCTCATAATTTTAATCTCATGCAGATTATTATCTACCTCCCATGAGAGAAAATCTACCTTTTTCAGTAGTTTCTTTTCATGGTATTTTAGCTTCCTGACCATTTTACCTTTTACTTTATGTTAACTTCAGAAAACACAAATACAAACACAGCGTGTCGATGTTTTCTTCCTGCCAGTAGACCGGAAATGTCCTATATAACTGCATGCGTTTCGTATTTTAAAAGTTTCGTTTCCTAGAATATTTGTTTCATTGTTTATGAAAATGTAATGTAAAACCTGACCAGTCATTTCCCGTAGTACATTTTTTTTTTTTTTTTTTGATGAGTAACATAAGAAAGTGTCCTTAATAATTTTAAAACATTCTTAAATGACACTTCTATACTTAATTGTATAAGCCAGTTTTTGAAAGAATAAATGTGGGATGCGACTATTTGCAGTCAATTTTGTTTTCTTTATGCTGGACTACACTTAATGCAAGTCAAATGCCTTAGTCAATTACAAAAATTAACCTAATGTCGATTCAAACCCAGTCGGCTTTTTTTTTTTTTTTAAGCGATGAGTAAAGGCATGACCTTTTGGAAGAAAAAGCAGTCGTCGACCAACATGACTCTGAACACTGAATAGTTAAAATACCTTGGCAATGACAATACATGATAAAAGCGAACTGGCAAAGGATTCCAGGATTTTCCGTCAGGCCGTGATTTGAGCGACATTCTGCATGGTAATATCTTTTCAAAACCGTGCAATGTTATCCAAATATCCTTAATGGAAGAAGATTTTTTTTTTTTTTTTTTGCTACCAAACTCGGATAGGCATAAAAGAATCTACTGCCTGTGATTGTGGAGCAGAAAGACAGACGATTGAGCACATACTGCAGTACTGCCCTAACTTATCCCAGCAAAGACTGTGGATCTGGCCTAAGGGAGCTACATTGCAAGAGAAGCTATGGGAGACCGATGGCGACCTTAAATGCACAAACCTATCTGTGACCCAGACGGAACTCAATGTTTAGCATGACTGATGTCAAACGTAGAAAAAGAAAGAAGAAGCTACCAAACTTAAGTCTGGCGGACAGACAGACATACAGATATATCTCCCTTCACTACCCCATTTCGAGACTGCAACTTGGAGGTTTGACACCACATTGACTAGGGTGTCTAATCCGACAGGAATAACATTGATGCTTGTTCAACCCTCTAAGTTAGTTAGTTAGTTAACCGACAGATTATGCTTGGTGCACAACGGGTAAGTCCATATCCCTCCGTGTGGCGAATGATAATACAAGTTCTATGTTGGTTTATTCATCTTCTTTGGCTACCTGTATAGTGTTCATGTTTGGTGACCCATCTTTTGATCTGAAACTCTTGTAGTCTTTTGAGTGTTGCGGATTCAGCGTCGTCTCCTGAATCATCCTCTTGCCCTGTCTCCTTGAGAGCACCGAGAATGTCGACCCGGTCTATTGCTTCTCCAATACCTCCCGTGGCCCTGTCAGCCAGCATATCTGCTCGTTCATTTTCTCTTACCCCAAAGTGTCCTGGCACAAAAATGAAACAAATTCATATCAGACTCCAACCTTTTTCTTCGAATCCATCCTGTCTCAATCTTCTTAAGCGCGCACGTGGAATCACTTCTTGGAAAGCATGTGTGGGGAAAATGCCACATCATTGCTTTAACTCTCTAAGATGATGATAAATATCAGTGTGAACCCTACAGCTACTCCAAGCAGTAAAGAGTCAGTTTCACGGCATTGTCTCGTGGAGCATATCGTTCAAGAACCGTTATTTTATAGACCAAATGGCAGTCTGTGGGTGATTTTATCAACATAACTCCGGACCTTGTCACCTCCCGTGATATTTTCTGGTACCAGTTTTAGACTGGGCCGACCTCGGAGCTCTTGGTCAGTTATAGAAACCAGTTTTTGGCCTTGTTCGAACCCAAATAGCTTTGGAAAAAAACAACCATATTGATTCATTCTTCCACTATCAGAAAAGTGTCTTTTAAATAGTAGTAGTAGATTTATACCCAACCAGGACATCACACAAGCGATTAACACTCGATGACACCAAATACCACCATGTGGGTGAGGATCGCCGTGGAGAGGTCCCAGAAACCGCGTTCAGCCATTAGACCATATTTATGGTAGGGCTATATTGCGGCCCCTGGCAAGAGCCAGGGTGGGGCTTCAAAATAGAGAAAAATTGCATCTCACAAAGAGATGACTGCATTTGCTAAAGAGAATACGGAGATAACAGGCACAATGAAAAGAGCTTGAGAATATTATTTACTTCACGAAGACAGCATATACTATGTTAGCATATCAAGTCAGATTTCTTTAGAATCAATCAATCAATCAGGTGCCGTCTCCACAATGAAGGTTGGCTGCAATGGATCTCCAACAAGCCCTGTCTCTTGCCCTTGATGTACACTCGCTCATACTGCTGTTCGTTCCATCTCTTGATGTTATCCTCCCACTTGTAACGCTGTCTGCCTTTTGCACGCTTACCTTGAACTTTTCTTTCTAGGATGATCTTTACAATACTGTTATGTATTTTAATGTGGCCAAAATATTTCACTTGTCTCTTTTTTATTTCACCTAGCACCT